GTCCGGGTAGTTCTGTGGGACAGGTTAAGGAGGGATTAAAATATCTTGAAATCACTGCTTTCAATAATTGGAATTCAGAGGTTTGATATTTCACCTGAATCAATAAACGGGGGAAAAGGTGAAGCACAAGACACTATTGTAACATTACATAGCATGTCAACGTAGTTTAACAAACTGCTTTCCCAGCTCACAAGTAACAGCTGTCAAAATGGGGCGAAGCTTAAGTGACGTCACCCGGGTGGTGTCATATCCAATCAGGACACAATTTTTTTTTTTTTTTATTAGTTTATATACATTTTTCATTTATTGTCAGCAACAATATCAGAAGTACAACAAAAAATCGACACTTGTTATCCTGAAGCTTGCAAAACAAACTGAAAATAATATTTCGTTAAGTGTTTGATATCCAGGGTTCGGGTCCAGAGAATTTTCTGGTGGGGGGCACAGGGAGTAATAACAATAAATCGGGGGGGGGGGGCGCCCAAAAGAAACAAAAGTTAGGGCTACCCACTTCAATATTTAAATAGTACAGTTACACATTGTTTATGTTTTCATCTTGCTTTTCTTGACTTTTATCAAGTAGTAGGCTGACACACAGAACACTACGATGTTTGCTGTACAGTTAGTCAGAAGTTGGTGTTTCGAGCTCTGTACAGTGAACTGTTCGTCTGTGTAGTAATTAGTTGTAACTAAGCACCACTTTAATTTTTACAATGTAACGACAATATTCTATAATAATAAAGAAAATATGATAAAATGTAAAATATATTTCAAAATAGAATAAAAATCTCAGTATTCTGTGCAGTTATGTTTTAATAAAACTAAGCACAATCATCACAATGAAATTTTGAACAATAGCAAAATCTTATACTTGAGTATACATCAGCAGTGCTCTGCTTTGTGCAATAAATGAGTGCAGTATACCATTGTCAGTTTAAAGCACTAGTTAATTTTTTACAATGAAACAACAGTATCCTATACTATGAATCAGTAGTTATGCTGAGTTTATGCAATAGAAATCTCAGTGTTCTGTGCAGTTGTCAGTTATGATTACTAAGCACCATCACCACAACAAAATTTACAACAGTAACGACAATATATTATACTTAACATCAGTAGTGCTCCGGCTTGTACAGTAAACATATGAGTTCACTTCAGAGATCAGTTTTAAGTAGAGTAGATCCCACATACTTTTTTTGAGAAAATGAAGGCGAATTTACGACGTCAGTGACCATATATATATATATATATATATATATATATATATATATATATATATATATATATATACACACACACACACACACACACACACACACACACACACACACACACACACACACTATATATATATATATATATATATATATATTATATATATTACGGAGACGCCCGTGAACGTCAAGCTTTCCAAGGCAGGCAGGCCCTCTTCAGTGATGCCAGACGTGGAAATGTCTTTTTATAAAGTACAATTCATAACAGTCCCTGATGAGCATAGAAATATCAAAACACACGAAATATACATACTTGGGTTTTAAAAGCAATATTCCCACCAACAATCTCGGAAAGAAATAACTTATGCACAAGTCGAGGGTGGAGTTTATTTCACCTGCGGTTGGTAACAGTTTGAGCGCGCAATTCAAAACAACACAAGCTAGCGCCGCATCAAGATGGCAGAGAAATAAATCTACCCAAACATCTTAACAAAGCGCTATATTTTCTCCTATATTCATATAAACTGCCTCTAAAACAATGACACTCTTCCGATTGACAGCCCTTTCATTCTGACGCGTTATCAAAACAAATTAATATCCCTGAATTAAAATATAGGCCTACCCATTCCCATATATCCGATTTTATGAGGTTAAATATTACAAATCATCGAATATAATATCAACATAAGAATGTTGCTAGATTTTCTCAGACTTTTTCACTTGAAATATTCTTTATTTCAGCAGATATATTCTCGATTTAGAAAGACGAGAAGTTTAGCAATAAGAGGAAAATTGTTCGTCTTATAATCATTTATAATTCATAAGTAAAACATCTTATTCCCATAATCTCTATTATCTCCTTTCGTTATCAGTTAATTTCAATTTCTTTGAATATGATTTTAAGAAAATTACAGAATCAGATACCGTGAAAAAAAATATTTATCTGATAAGATATTAAGCGGAGTTCCTAGCCAACGGCCGCATTCGAAGGATCGTGACCAGTACAGTACGCGACCGACGCCGTTGCCATGGTGACGGCACACCGCTTGACTTAGCAAGCGCAAGTCAAGCCATCTACGGAGGTCGCTTGAGAAAGCAAGCGAAATGCTTGAGTTGGCAAGAAAAACGCTTGAGATTTCAGGCAAGAACTTTCCCTGCTTAAAACGCTTTAAGACACACCCCTTGAATATCAAAATCATAAAACAAAAACTTTTTGAATTATTCTGTTAACCAACGAACAAATGAATAAACTAACTAACACTGCCAAAACATAACCTTCCTGGCGG